CTCTCTCTCTAAAATAAATAAATAAATATATTTTTTTAAAATAACAAAATAAAGTAATTAAATTGCTCTGACACAACCTGCAGAAATTAGAGGCTGCCCGGGGGAAGCGGTCTAACTTTGTGAATGTCCTTCGCAGAACGCTGGCTGAAATGGCAGCGGCCACCTCAGTCCATGTGGTTGCAGTCATCGAGCCCATCATCCAGCACGCCGACTGGTTCTTCCCTGAAGGTAACGTACCTTTTCAATTTCACAGACCGCCCAAGCAGAACAATAACAGTATAAAAAATTCTTTAAAGAAGAAAATGCTTCAGTAGCCCCTTCGTGAGGATGTGATTGGTTTCATCTTTGACATATTGGCGTCCACATTATTTTGTATTTCGCTTTGTTTCACTTCACCCTGGAGCTGTCCACTCAGCCAGTGTGTACTGAATACCCATTGACACCATATGTCTGCTGCTGAGATATGCAGTCTTCCCTGGAGGAACCTGGCCCTTGGAGAAGGCCACATAAACAGATATCATCGTACGTGGCGAGTTAGAAGGAAGGGCAGATGGTTTGACAAACTCAGATGTTGGGCACAAAGAACAAGGACTGCTTTATAGAAGAGGTGACACTGAATGTGCAGTTTTCCGCTTGGAAAACAGCTTTTTGTTTCTGTAGGCAGAAAGCTGGGTCTTTGTAAAGGTGGAAGATGAAGCCGGATAGGTTGACTGGAGCTATTTTGTGAAGGTGGGAGCTGGCTGTGTCAGAAAAAGAGGATTTCAGCCGACAGGTGATAGGTTTCCAGACTACGTTTGTTGTAGTCCTGGGGTTCTCAGAGATTCCATGACCCCCTTCGGGGGCATTGGTAGGGCAAGCTTTGAGAGTCCAGACCTATGGCCCTGCTGGCCCCTCCCCTGGAGTGTGAGCTCCATGACCCCAGGGCAAGCTCGTTTCTCCTTTCCCAGGGTCCCCTCATGATCGAGAATCATACCTCACTCGTGTAGATTCTCAACAAGTACGTGATGCATGAATGAATACCGGCATTTTGCCCAAGATTTCTTTGGGAAAACAAGTCTTAGAAAACTGCTATAGGCATTATGGAGTTGGTGTTGCCTTTTACTTGTACTTTATATCAAACTGTAAATACCTTTCATTTTTTTTTAGTAATCCATGCTATTGTCCTCTTCCATATTCCCTGATTTTTTTTTTTTAAAGAAGAAGGCAGAGGAATTGTGTAACTTACATTCTGAATCACACCCCCTCCTTATCTCTAGTTTCCTCATTTTACCGCCCCCCTGGTGTGGCAAACCATTCTTGAAAAGATGAGGGGGCAGGGAGTTGCACCTGTGAAACAGGGAGGGCTGATGGGAGTTTTAAAGCCTCATGCACCCGTATGCTCTACACCTCATGTGCAGGCAGACCTCACTTTGTGGCGCTTCCTAGATGCTGCAGTATTTTACAAGTTGAAGATTGGCGGCAACCCTGCCTTGAGCGTGTCCTTTGGTGCCATTTTTTCCAATAGCATTTGCTCATTTCATGTCTCTGTCCCATTTTGGTAATTCTTGCAGTATTTCAAACTTTTTCTTTCTTATTATATTGGTTATAGTGATCTGTGATCGGTGATTACGACTTGCTGAAAACTCAGATGATGGTTAGCAATTTCTTAGCAACAAAGTGTTTTTTAAATAAGGTATGTGCCTTGTGTTTGTAGACATACTGCTATGACACATGGCCGCATAGTATAAACATAACTTTTATGTGCACTGGGGAACCAGAAGAGTCATTTGACTTGCTTTATTGTGATAATTCATTTTATTGGGATGTTCACTCCGTCGCGATACTTGCTTCATCACGATACTCGCCGTATTGCAGTGGCCTGCCCCCAAACCTACCTTATCTCTGAGGTGTACCTGCACGCTTGTTTCTTTGTCTCCTTGCAGAGGTGGAATTTAACGTATCGGAAGCATTCGTGCCTCTCGTCACCCCGAATTCCAATCACTCATCTCACACTGGAAATGACTCTGACTCAGGGACCCTCGAGAGGAAGCGACCTGCCAGCATGGCGGTCATGGAAGGGGACTTGGTGAAGAAGGAGAGGTGTGTTTAGAGCTGTTCACTTTCCTCCAACAGTAGATGTCATGTAGAAGAATTCCTAAACCCTTGGGATCTGGTACTGCGTCAGTGGACCTGTAGTACAAGAGTGGCCCACGGCGCGCCCATGACTGTCAGGTCCCGGTATTTCGGGAATTCTGCTCTAGTTCATTACAAACACTAACATGACCACAAGGCAGCTCTGTAGCTTGTCAGTACACATTTGTTCCATATGCATCCGAGCTTCACTTGGTCTGCGGTAAGCATCATACTCATGCTACAAAGCCACCTAAACGTACTTGACGAGGGGGGAAGGGAGAGAAAAAGCAGGGGGACATTAGGTATTGTGGACAGATGGGAGAATAACCCACCTCTCACAGTGAGTTGTCGGATTTGGTTTTCAAAGAGACACATTTTGGGTGTGACTTGGCCCCTCAGCGGAAGCCAGCCGCTGACTCCGATGCTCAGCTGGAGATACTCCCGTATTTGGACTTAGTGAGAGACGCAGGTCTCTATACTGTGCTCCACGGGCGATTTTAGTGGGATTTTCTTTTTTAAATGTTTTATTTATTCATGAGAGTCAGAGAGACAGAGAAGCAGAGGCAGAGGGAGAAGCAGGCTCCCCACTGAGCAGGGAGCC